TTACCTAATTTTAAACTAGTTGCCACTTGATCCCACTAATGGCTACCTCCTAAGAAAATTCTCTTTGTTTTCTGTTGTTACCTGGTTTCTATTGTCCTGTGATTTCATAATTAAGAAAAATTAAAATCTATCAAATGAATGTCATCACTCCTACTTTAATAACGGTGTTTCTAGTTCAATGGATGGGAGTGGTTAGGTGTGTCTTTTTTCAACTCTTAGCATAAAGAAACACAAGAGCAACATTTTATGCACGATGTATGTTTACTAGTTAACGAACTAGAGTTATGTTTACAGTGCCTGGACTAATCCCTAAATTGCTACTCAAGTGAAGATTTGGGGGTACATGGGTCAAAATTCTTTCCCAAGTCTGGCTCATTACCTCAAAGAGCATGAAAGTGTGTGGGATGAGTGTTTGTGTTTGCAATGTTGTTAGGATAGCCAGGTTGTTTATCCCTCTACTCAGTACACCCCGACCAGAGGGAGCTCACACCACTTCTTCAGACCAGTGCAGCCAGGTTGAATAGAGTCTTCCCTGCACATCTGGAAGAACCAATGCCAAGATCTCTTCTACGTGCCTGCAGCCAGTCCTTTGCAGTAGGAACCCTGGGGATCCGGCAGACCTCGCCCCAGGCGGAGAGGTCCTCATCAACCGCCTGTTCAGGGTTGTCCTAGCCAGTGATCTGGAGGAGCTGAGCTGGAGTGAGGCAAATATCCAGACTCCTTGTCAGTTCAAAGCATTTTAAGGTTGTTTGAAATCCTCTCCACGTCAGCGTAGCGGCCTCTGTATTAGAAAAGCTGCTTTGAACAGCGAGAAAGAATGAGCTGAATCAAAACCTGGATGTGTCTGCCCCCAGACACCTTCTACATGCTTTTATGTGGCCAGAAACTGGCAGCCAAACGGACTCTTCCCCTGACTGGATCTGCAGGAAGAATTGTGCCAGGGACGGTAGGACTGCAGATAGGCTCCCATCTGCAGCTCAGACCTTCCCGAGCCAAGGTCCCGGAATCCTAGAGACGAGGCGAGGCAGAATGGGACGCCTAGCAGTTCCAAATCCTTCGCGCCAACCGGGCCCCAGGCAACAGGCGGAGGCGCCTAAGGCTCCTGGAGGGGTGGAGAGGGGCGGTGCTCAAGTGGAGCCTGGTCGCGCCTAGCCCTGCACGCCTTTCGATTGGCCCGGCATCCGGGGCGTGGGTGAATGCTCTGACTGGGGCCCCCAGGTGGGGCAGCGCTTTGTATACTCCGGGGGATTTGCTGAGCGTCTTAAGCCCAGTATAACTATTTCAGCTAGACCAGTCAGGGAGGTTTCAGTTCTTTTGCCCGCCAGCGAAAGAGGCGGGGCTGAGGGGTGGAGTGGAAATCTGGGACGTCAAAATGGGAAGGATCTGCTTGCGTTAATGGCCAGTGAAGTCCCATCACTGAAAGTTTTGATGAACACGCGCAACTAATTTCACTTTCCACCACGCACATTCACTTAGCGTCCTGTGCCAAAGGTACCGGGTAGCAGGAGACAAGGAGGAGGGGCATCAAGTTCCTCCGAAATGTATCTGGAAACTCCATTCTTCCTTTGAGGGTCTCGTCCTATGAGCCGAGAAGGTTCTTTCCAAAAACGTGAAAGGCAAGACAAGAGAAAGGCAGACACCAGTCCCTGGGGGCGAGAGGGGGCGCTCTTAGTATCCTGATTTGGTCTTTCCAGGAAGCTGAATTGTTCCCTGGGTAGGAGCTTCAAATTCCCGAGAGGTGGGAAAGCAAAGCCCGGAGAGCTGGGAGGGAACGTTGCTGGGAGGCGGCCTGGGCGCGGAGATCCTAGGCGTTCCGCAGGGGATGCGCGCCGGAAGAACAGAGAAAGTTGCGGCTCCTGCGCCCACCACGGTGCAAGCGATCCGAAAGACACTCGCAGCTGCCGCGAGTCTGCGCGTTCTGAGGCTGGAACTTTTAAATTTTTCCTGTCCAGACAGAGTTACTAAATTGCTAGCGGTCCTCAGATTCGCGACCAAAGTGGCTGAACACTTAGGCTAGGACTGCTGGACAAGATAAGCGCGGTCTGGGTCATAACCTCGCCGCGCGTGGGGGTGCAGGTCGGTGAGGCTGACTGCCTGTGGGCTTGCCCCGCCCCTAACCATTTCTGTCTCCTCTACACATGCTCATAAACACAGGATAAGTGGAGAATCTCAGCCAAGGAGCCTAGCCTGGCTGGTGCTCAAGGTGGTGATTTATACAGTTCAGGCACTCCCCAAAGAGCACAGCTCCTCGTTAGTCATGATGAATTTTCTGGCTCGGTCCATTCTTGCTGTCTAGATTAAGATGCTCCGAGGCCCCAAAATGCTCCCTCTGAGCGTTCATTTGGCTTTCCTCAGAAGTCCCTGACCTCTCAGAAAGCCAGCGCTAGCTCCACAAGGTGCAGGGCTAGTAGGGGTAGGAAGTGGGGAAGCGATTCAGGTTCCCTGGGGTCTCTTCTTTTCCGGCAATAACTTTTGATTCGCGGTGCAGTGCCTGCATATAACGCGCACTCGGGACTCTGTCCCACTGCTCCAGCCCGAGTCAGCGCTCGGGTCTTCGCTATTCAGCTTGCAGACTGGGAAACTGGCAACACCCACAAGGCTTTCACCGCCGCTCGGGAACTGAAGGCCCAACTTGTTCGCACCTGGCAGAACCTTGCTGAGGAAGCGGTACCCAGCGGTCCAGCTCGCGAGTTCACCACTAAAAGCGAGCAAGAATCTTAACTAGCCGACGCCTGAAAGATTAAACTAACCCTACCCGCTGGCGCCCGCAGAAGTTACTGATTAGAAAGGATCCCTTAGCACCAGGCGAGTTGCAGATCTTCCTTTCTTTTGAAGCAGCAACCGGGAAAGTTACACAGTCAAGAGCCTGGTGAGGGATGGAAAAGCTCCCGCAACCCATCAGCGCATCTTTCCAGACCCGCCCTGAGCTGCTCCACCAGGCCGAGTCTGCACACAGCAGAGGACTCTTGCAGCCTTGCACAAGGCAAAGGTCTGTCTACAAAAGCACGTAGTTCTCTAAACCAAAAACTATACGAACGCGAGTGTGGCTAGGACAGGCTGTTCTAGAGTTTTGTTTCCAATTCACACTGCTGAGCTGTTAGAGCCAGCAACTCTGGTGCCTTGACAGGAGGTGCTTAAAAGTCAGGGCTTAGGTTGACCCTGTCTCTCCCGGAGTCTTGAGAGAGGGACTGGGAGAAAATAAGATCTGGAACCTAATAAACCTTTGCTACTGGGTCGAAGGGAAGGAGAGGACCTTTATTTGGGGACAAAAGTGACCTTAAACCAAGAGCTCCAGACACCTGTGCACTCAAATTCTACCCAGGGTGGAAGACTGGAGACTACAACAGGGATACAAGTCTGGGTCCAGCTCTACCTTTAAGGGACGCTAGTGTGTGTGTGTGCGCGGGGAGGGGGAGGGTTGTGTCCGTAGGCTAAAGGAAATCAGACTGCCGCTGACTCGGTGCGATCCAGCCTTTCTCGTCTACATTCCACATCCCCCTCAAAGATCTACTGGGGAGAGAAAGTGGATTCCCTCCCATCCAAGTGGCTGTAGGCAGTAGGAGCGCCTGAACCTCCCCACTGCCCGGCTTCTCCCCCTGAAAGACAGATGGGGGGCGGGGCCCATCCTAAAGAGGCGGAGGGGCCGCGGGCAGGGGGCGAGAAGGGGCTGAGAAACAAGAGAATCTGAATCGCCGGGCTGGGCCGGGGAACCAGAGGGAGGGCTGGGAGGACTCTGCACCGAGGGAAGAGGAGGGGGCAGCTCTGTGCCAATCAGTAGCGCCGGCCTGGGAGGTTGCTAGCGGTATCCACGTAAATCAAAGGGCGAGGAGCCAATGGGAGGGGGAGGAGGGGGCGGGGCCGAGGCGCGTGCCGCTGTGAGCCGGCTCAGCCTGGAGAGCGGGAGAGAGCTGGAGAGAGCCGGGAGAGGGGGGAGCGCCGAGCGAGTCAGAGTGTGCAAGAGGAGAGAGAGGAGGAGAAAGAGCGAGGGCGGGAGGGAGGCAGCGCGGCAGCGGCTGTAATAGCAAGAGCAGCAACAGAAGGCGTCGGAGCGGGCGTCGAAGCTGCCCGCTAGGGGACAGAAAGAGAGAGGGGGGCACTGAGAGAGAGGAGAGAGAGAGAAAGCGGGCGAGCTTGGAGAGGGAGCCCGAGGGGGAAAAGTAACTGTCAAATGCGCGGCTCCTTTAACCGGAGCGCTCAGTCCGGCTCCCAGAGTCATGGCGACCGCAGCGTCTAACCACTACAGCCTGCTCACCTCCAGCGCCTCTATCGTGCACGCCGAGCCTCCCGGAGGCATGCAGCAGGGCGCGGGGGGCTACCGCGAGGCGCAGAGCCTGGTGCAGGGCGACTACGGCGCGCTGCAGAGCAACGGGCACCCGCTCAGCCACGCTCACCAGTGGATCACGGCGCTGTCCCACGGCGGCGGCGGCGGGGGCGGCGGCGGCGGTGGAGGGGGCGGGGGCGGCGGCGGGGGCGGCGGAGACGGGTCCCCGTGGTCCACCAGCCCCCTGGGCCAGCCGGACATCAAGCCCTCGGTGGTGGTGCAGCAAGGCGGCCGGGGCGACGAGCTGCACGGGCCGGGCGCCCTGCAGCAGCAGCACCAGCAGCAGCAACAGCAGCAGCAGCAGCAGCAACAGCAGCAGCAGCAGCAACAGCAGCAGCAGCAGCGGCCACCGCATCTGGTGCACCACGCCGCCAACCACCACCCCGGGCCGGGGGCATGGCGGAGTGCCGCGGCTGCAGGGCACCTTCCGCCCTCCATGGGAGCGTCCAACGGCGGCTTGCTTTACTCGCAGCCCAGCTTCACAGTGAACGGCATGCTGGGCGCCGGAGGGCAACCAGCTGGGCTGCACCACCACGGCCTACGGGACGCCCACGACGAGCCGCATCACGCCGACCACCACCCGCATCCGCACTCTCACCCGCACCAGCAGCCGCCGCCGCCACCGCCCCCACAGGGCCCCCCGGGCCACCCAGGCGCGCACCACGACCCGCACTCGGATGAGGACACGCCGACCTCAGACGACCTGGAGCAGTTTGCCAAGCAGTTCAAGCAGAGGAGGATCAAACTAGGATTTACCCAAGCAGACGTGGGGCTGGCGCTGGGCACCCTGTACGGCAACGTGTTTTCCCAGACCACCATCTGCAGGTTTGAGGCCCTGCAGCTGAGCTTCAAGAACATGTGCAAGCTGAAGCCTTTGTTGAACAAGTGGTTGGAGGAGGCAGACTCGTCCTCGGGCAGCCCTACTAGTATAGACAAGATCGCAGCGCAAGGGCGCAAGCGGAAAAAACGGACCTCCATCGAGGTGAGCGTCAAGGGGGCTCTGGAGAGCCACTTCCTCAAATGCCCAAAGCCCTCGGCCCAGGAGATCACCTCCCTCGCGGACAGCTTACAGCTGGAGAAGGAGGTGGTGAGAGTTTGGTTTTGTAACAGGAGACAGAAAGAGAAAAGGATGACCCCTCCCGGAGGGACTCTGCCGGGCGCCGAGGATGTGTACGGGGGGAGTAGGGACACGCCACCACACCACGGGGTGCAGACGCCGGTCCAGTGAACTTGAGCAGGGGAGGGGCAGAGCGCGGGGCTCCCCCCCTCCCTTTAGGTCCAGGGTCCTTGAGGACCGCTGTTCCCTAACTTCTGATTGTTCTTTTATTTTTAATTATTATTTCCCAGTCCCTTAAAAAGGAAAAAAGAAAAAAGAAAAAAAAAAGAAAGAAAAAAGGAACGTAACTAAGACACTGGACTATCCTACAAACGATAGTAGGTGTAATGATGTGTTTTGACCTTTGCAGGCAAGGACCCAGGCAATGAAGTAAAATGTCTCCTAGAGAGTGATGAGGGAGAGGGAGAGAGGGAGAGAGGGAGAGAGGGAGAGAGGGAGAGAGGAGAGAGAGAGAGAGAGAGAGAGAGAGAGAGAGAGAGAGACCTGGCAAAACTAAATAAATTACCAAAAAGAAAAAAAATCCACCAAACCTAACTAAACACAAAATTGCAGCTTCCTAATGCTCAAAGTTGGCACGTGCTGCTGTGTTTATTTAATGTGGATCCCCGTCAGGAAAGGGGAAAATACACATTTTTTTAAAAATATAGGCAAATTTTAACCACACAAATTTGCACTGCAAGAAAATCGAAGTTTACATGAACAAATTCATAAGCATTTTTTTTTTCACTTAATAACCACTGTTAATTTGGAGCTGTGCTCTGGGGTTTTGTTTTGTTTGCTTGCTTTGCTTTACCCAGCAGAGAGAAGTAGAGCCATCTCTGGGCTACTCTCCGCAATGTTCAAATGTTGCCCCTGTTCTTAATTGCCTGTGGACTTTGATTACTTTTGAACCTCCCCATACATGGTGTAACATTTATTGGCTCCTTCCACCAAAGCAAAATGATTGGCTTCATACAAAATAAATAATGGTTTGCATTCAGTAAATGTGTATGGTTTACCCACTTTATCTAAGGCAAAAGAAAAATCGGTTTGGAATAATATGAGAGTCAAACATTGGTTTTTGTTACCACCAACAAAGTAAACTTCATTTTCAGGCAGTGTTTCCAGGATAGGTAGGAAAGGGAAGAAAAAGAAAAATCGATAATGAGTGACTGATCACTTCATTTTATCAGGCGGGCCCATTGTAAAATAGCTTAGAGGGAATGTGGAGGTTAAATATATTTCCAGAGTTGACCAACAGAAAGAAACTGGCACTTTGAAGAGAACTAGGAAAGCATGTATCTTCCGATATTCCTGTATAGTGCTCTGCCTTTAGATTTAATAACTTAATCATGAGGAATTAGTTGTGCTGACAGCAGTGGTTAAACTTTGTTCCTCTACTAGGTTTTTTTTTTAAACATAAAATAACCCAGAAACTTAATGATGATTGCAGATGCTTGTCTTATATTGTCTTTATTATGTTCAGTTATGTCTAGCAGCCAAATACCCATATGCACACATAGACAAACACGTTTTATCTTCAATAGTTTGTTTCTTTATTAAGTCGTATTTAAGGTCTTACACCATCTTCTCCCTAATTTATTACAGAAAATACCAGTTGAAATGAAGTGGGGGTGCAGGAGAGATTTTCAGTTCTTCCATTCTCCCTTTGTTGTTGCTTTTAAGTACATTTTTTACTGTATCTTGATAGGAAATTATTTACTCCCATATACTGGAAAGTATAGGTGACAAAAGACAACGAGACTGCATTGAAAATAAACACCATTAAACTGTGATCAGTTAAAATTTTAAAACAGGAATCAGCACAAAAGGGCGCTAAAAGGGAAAACATTTTTTATTAACCTTAACTGTTTGGGGTTTTATTTCCTTGTTAGGTATTAGATAAATGTTTATTTTTAAAAAACTTAAAATTCTCACTACCATAAAATCATGGTTCAGTATCAGATTAGCATTGCACTCAGTAGTTAAGGTTTTAGGAAATATGTTTTATACAGCATTGTCTTTTCAAACACCTGTGGTTGTTTCATTTTCAATGTTTTTGCAAGATAAATGGTGACTTATGATGGGCATATTTATTTGCCTGTATTTCATTTCCCCCAATGAATGTCTAAAGGAGCCAGCCTAGATCTATTTAGGGTGCATCACACTGCTTGTTACTGGTGTGTGGGGACTGGCCCTTAGTGAAGCAATCCAGAGCAGGGCAAATGGTCAATGGTAAAGGGAGGAAATACATTTTCAGATACTTATTACCAAGTAGGTAAGGTCAAAAGCTGGACTTCATGGGATGATCTCAGCCTCTCTTGTTCTCCTGGTTTTACTGAGCTGAAAGTTAGTATGAACCTTACCACTATGTATATATGTAATATCTGTCTTTTGAAATGCAGAAATAGTTTAAATGTTTCTTTGTCTATTTTTCTTTTTTTTAATGCTACCCAGGGAAATATTTTCATATCATTTTTAAGTGGCCTGCCTCAATGTATATTTATTTCTTTTGAAACAAAAAGGTTCTGGAAACTGTTTTTCTGTAGCTTTAAATGAGTAGGTGAACAAAATCTATATGGGATGTAATTTTTTGTTCAGCTTCTTTAAAAATACTTTGTTTTGGTACATTTGGTTGTGCTTGTGGGGAAAATAAAAACGCAGAGATCCTTATATATTTATGTTAAAGTAATATTTTATTATTACATAAAACAGAAATGCACAATACCTTCATAGTTTGTTCTAATTATTGAAATATTTTTATTTTATTTTTAAATATAGTGTCAAGTTTTAAAGGGGGAAGAAAATCTTCCTAGACCTTATGCTGAGTTGAGTTATGTATAAAACAATTCCCTCCCTTTATACTTCATAAAGTTTTGGAATAAATTTTATGCATATATCGCCAGGTTTCATGTTTATAACTTTCAAGGGCTTTTTTTTAAATGAAGACTACTGTTTAGACTTTACTTTGCAGAAACTATCATCAGCCTCAGATCTCTCAGTCACTATGCCTTGTAGCATTAAATCAAAGTGGTCATTTAGGAAATATGCTTCATATAGCACTGTCTTTTCAAACACCTGTGATTGTTTCATTTTTACAAGATAAATGGCGACTTACGATGAGCATATTTATTTATTATTCAGTTTGTTTGCCATTTCCCGGTCCAACAAAGAGACAGTTGTCTTGTGAATATCTACCTGTATCTTGTACCTTTTTTTCCAGATTAGCTGCATCTAGTCCAATGTGCTGTCTGGGAGAGCAGCAACAGAGCTAGCTGGACCTTAACCTCTACCCACATGTCCTCAGATAATCTGGGACATGAACAAAAGTAAGGCTTAGTCAGGGAATTATTCTTCAAAATTAATAAATATATTTCAAAACAACAAAATCCTGACAACATGCCATATGCATGTTTACCAAATGATACTATATATTATTCCCGTAAGATTTACAGAAGATACTTTTTGCAATGGATTTTACAATAGTGTCTCTTTCTCATCAGGCAAACAAACAGGCTCTAAATTGGGGGTGGGGGGAGTGTATTGAAGACACACAAGCCATAGTGCTAATAGTTTGTTTCAGACATAGGTAGAACATTGCACTTAAAAAAAATCAGCCTTAATGCTAGTGAGGCTTTCAGATAGTGTTGGGTTAGTTTATAAGTTTTCTGGTGTATTTGAAGTCCTCCTTGGAACATTGGCTTAAAGTATAAATGTCCATTAGGAAGGTAGTTTCTGGGCTTATTACATCTGATCATCTTTTCTAATTCCTAGTCAATATTACAAGGGTCTCAAACAAATTCTGCCAAATGATGTTATCAATAGTCTGAACAAGAAGTGACAGAAAGAAGAAGTGTTTTGTGACCGCAGACATGCTGATGGGTAAAATGTTTAAGCTAGGTATAGATTTGAGTTCTGGGTCAATATTCCTCTGCTGAAGGCAGAAAACAAGCAGCATCTGCCCTCTGCAGGGCATTTCAGTGGCCCTTGAGAAAGCATTTTGTTCTTAGCCACAGGAGCTACAGACTGGAGAACATCACATATTAAACACACTCACCATGCTCTTGACTCATGCTGACCATTCAGGTCTTAAAGCTGTTCTAGTAGTTTCCAAGGCAGCATTAGAATATATTACCTACTACCATAAAAAGAAAAAGAAAAAAGACTAAGTGCCACTGAGACAAATCTTTGGGACAATTATTCTAAGTTACTGACAAGTTATGTCTTTCTCCTAAAGACAACAATTAAGAATACACTCATTCTGACACAGCTCTTGTGTTTGTTAAAAATATACCACATGTTAGATTTATGATATATATGATGAGGGAGAAATTATGTGAGGAAGAATATCTAAAGGTTATATGGAGGGAATGGCCATAAATAAAATCATGTTTGGCATTTCTAAACATTCTCGGTTCCTAAGAAGTAACCTCCTTTATGTTTCAGATAGCAGCAACCCAAACACTCCTGTCTTCCCCTTCCCCTCCTGCTCTTACAGAGGAGACCACCCACTGGTTGTCAAAATTTTCTGGTGAAATGGTTTTGATGAAGGCACTCATCTTTCAGTCTTCTTATTTCTTCAAAAGCAACTAATAAGGAGATGCAACTGCAATGTTGGAGCTGGTGGTTGGGTACACTGGTACCTACATGGGCTGTCTCTCCACTTACCTTTTATTTCCCCTGTTATAGCTTGGATAGTGCTGGGGAGCATGGTGACATTTTTTGTTTTTTGAAACTACTCTTCTCTTTGGTTCATCTTTGTTGATCTTCCAGTCAATGGAACTGTATTCTAGAGTCTATTGAATTCCTGTACAAGTTAAAGAATGAGATGAAGAATAGAGTTTGTACAGTAAAAGAAGGATGGTGAAGTGAGGGTTTCTTTGGGTCTGCTTGTATATTTCAGGGGAAAGAAAAGATTTTCAAATGAAAGGAAAATCTGCATCGGGAAGTACTATGAATCTTGACAATGTGACTAAGTTTTATACAAATATTTTCTCTGTTTAGGAAAGTTTACTTTCAATGATGCTTATACTTTCTGAGTAGAGTTCAAGGGCTGGTAGAAGAGAAGGCAACTTGCTAGTATTTCCACAACTTGATTCAGGCTAAGAAAAAATAAATATATACATATATATGTATATGTATATATGGCAGGGGCCTGCCACCCAGCTCAAAAAGTCACGGAATTAATTGGCTCACATTTCTAGAACTTGGGCCAGGATTTTGCTCAATACCCGCTTATCTAGAGACACGCATTGGAGTGGT